CACACCCACCCAACCACTCACTCACCCACTTGCTCACTCCTCACCCACCCACCCAGTCCTCACCCACCCACTCACCCACTGACACCCACTCACCCACCCATACACTCCTCATCCATCCAACCACCCACCCACTCACCTCACCCACCCACCCACTTACTCCTCACCTACTCATCCACCCATTCACTCCTTACCCACCCAATCATCCACTCACCCACCCACTCACTCACCCACTCACTAACCCACTGACTCACACCTACCAACTCAACCACTCACCCACCCACTCATTCCTGACCCACTCACCGACTCACTCCTCACCCACCCACCAACCTACTCACTCACCCACTCCTCACGCACCAACTCACTCGCCCACCCAGTCACTCACTCCACCCACCCACTCACCAACCCACTCACCCACTCACCACTCATTCACTCATCTACCCACTCACCCACCCACTCACTTCTCATCCACCCACCCACCCACTCACTCACTCCTCAGCCAGAGCAACTTCCAGTCCCCCCAGCTCCACTCATGGTACATGCCCTAGACAGGTGGACCATTTTTTTAAGTGTTTAGATACACACATCCTTACCACTGTGTTACGACTGTGGACAGTACTCAGTCCTGTGCCAGGCTGAGCAGGTTTGTGGCCCAGAAGCAAGAGGCCCCACTGTCCAGCCTGGCTGTGCAGCTTAGAGCTCCTACGCTCCTGTAAGACACACGATCATGTTTTCACCACAACGACATCACTAACGACACCTTTTCTGGAACGCATCCCTGTCGTTAACAGTGCAGAACTACAATACAAAGCAGTGCTAAGCCCCGCGGCGCTCTGCCCTGCAAGGCTGGTGGGCACGTCACTCAGAGGTCAGCTCTCACACCAAGGGGCGCGGCACACTGGGAATCTGGGTTTTTACGCATGCACAGAAAAACATGGACAGCATCTGAAATCACGCGTGTCCTCAGGAGGTAGGTTCAGCGTCACTGCAGATTTCCATAATGTGTGAATTAAAGATAATTTAATGTAAATTATTCCTGAAATCAGAAAAAACTATGTAAACGTAAAAAAAAAAAAAAGCTTAGGATTAAAGAACAAAAATATTAATAGAGAAATGTAAGAATGCCATGAATCCACAGACTATAATAATATACCATAAACAGTATCGTAACACAGTACCGAAAGCTTTAGTGCTTATGATAGACACTGTTCTGAGCCTTTCAAATCATTCCCACAACAGTCCTATGAGGTGGCTTCTATTTTCTCCCTGCCTTACAACAAGGAGACAGAGGCTCAGGGACGTTAGGCCCTTGTCCTGGGGCACAGCAACACGTGACTGTCTGAGTCCCTCTCAGGGTCCCTCTGACCTGGTTATGAAATGATGAGTCTCTGGTATTACCGTCATCATTTTCTTCTTAGAAAAACACATTCATTTTCTACTCTTGGTCTCCATCCCCTACGCATCCCTGTCCTAAAGTTAAAATTACTCGGTATAAACCAACGTTTGATGGCCCTTGCCACGCTTCACAGCAGGGCACAAACGGACTTTGCCATAAAAATGGCTGCACAGGATGGTCAGCTGACTGTAATGACCTGAAGAAACTCCTACATTCAGACATCTCAGAGGACTGCTTTCACTTCTGGTCGGTCACCCCACCAGTCAGCAAACTCAGTCTTCAGGTTGAAACGTGCCATCCATTTGGAGTAGGCACTGCAACCTTTGGCCACTGTCCCCTGGATGCAGAATATTTATTCAGAGTCCAAAAGTAGTGCCTTTTGCTTTACATACTCCTAGTAACAGCTCAGAAAGACCAGGAAGGCCGGCACGGTGGCTCATGCCTGTAATCCCAGCACTTTGGGAGGCCAAGGTGGGTGGATCACCAGAGGTCAAGAGTTTGAGATCAGCCTGGTCAACATGGCAAAATCCCATCTCTACTAAAAATACCAAAAATCAGCCAGGCATGGTGGCAGGCGACTGTAATCCCAGCTACACGGGAGGCTGAGGAAGGAGAATGGCTTAAACCCAGCAGGCAGAGGTTGCAGTGAGCTGAGATTGCGCCACCGCACTCCAGCCTGGGCCACAAGAGTGAAACTCCGTCTCAAAAACAAAACAATAAAAAGAAAGACAAGGAAAGTGAGGGTTTTTTTTTTTCACTTTCTAATGGAAGATTTGCTAGATTCCTGTAAAAAGACTTTCTAGAGAGCCAATCACTTTAGTGAGCTACTTTTAGAATAAAACCATTTTATACAGTAGTGAATATGTGGAATATAATAGATGAAATTTACATTTGTTTTTTCCTTCAATACATGTAGCCTGGACTCTGCTTCACTGTCATAACCTTACATATGAAGGCTCAGGAAGATAAAGTGACTTGCCCCAAGTCACACAGCCAGCTAAGGGCTGACCTGACCCTTCCCGTCTCCTCAGTCTGTCGTGAGGACCCCACACTGTGCCTGCCTCACTCGCCCTTCCGTAACCATTCCACTAAGTGGAAAACCGACTCTGCAAATATGATTTTAACAGTGTGGCAGGAATTAACACACTAAGAAGAATGACTCATTTTTTTTTAATGTAAATTTATTTTGTGCTTATTATTGCTGTACTAAAAACATCCAAAAGAAGTAGACTTCTTTTGAGAGACAGGGTCTCTGTTGCCCAGGCTGGAGTATAGTGGCATGAACACAGCTCACTGCAGCCTCAGCCTCCTGGGTTCAAGTGAGCCTCCTACCTTAGCCTCCCAAGTAGCTGGGAGTACATCCTGGGTTCAAGTGAGCCTCCTACCTTAGCCTCCCAAGTAGCTGGGAGTACAGGCATGCGCCACCATACCCAGATAATTTTTACACTTTTTGTAGAGATGGGGTGTCTCACTATATTGCCGAGGCTGGTCTCAAACTCCTGGGCTCCAGCAATCCAGCCATTTGAGCTTCTCAAAGTGCTGGGGTTACAGGCATGAACCCCAGCTGGCCAGCAGTAAACTTATTACACATTCTGTTCACATTTTGATCAGTAAACCTTTAGTGACATGTGAAGTGAGCCAGCTGTCCTTCTGGTCATCCTACAAGACTACTACTGTATCCTCACTTCCCATCAGGTCGAGAAAGAAGCGTCAGTCCTGCCCACACAGTAAGCACCAATGGCCCAGGGACGCCTTCATCACAGGACCAAGAATAGAGCTGCCATCGGCAGGCACCAACTGCCTAACTGTCTTCCAAACACTGAGAGGGCAAGTCGAGTGCCCAGGCCATCCTTATGCCTCCTGGCCCTCGAGAGGCAAGGTGTGGGTGCGGGCTGTGCACAGTGTCCTGGGCAGAGGCAGGAAGCAGCACAGGGCAGGCTCAGGCCGAGGGCTCAAGATCTAACGCAGAAAGCAGATCCCAAAAGAGCTCCTCATATTTCCCGCATTTTCACAAGTCGAAGACCCTCAAATTACTCGAATCTCGATTTATAAATAATCAGAATTACGATACAACAGCACTTTTCACTACGAAATCATCTCTGAATTTTGTAGAATTTATAGCCCTAAAAGAAATCAAAGTCCCTCACTCCAGACCCATCTCCTGAGTGCACACTGGATGTGAAGCCCATACCAGGCACTGGGAGTTGCAGTGACGGGAAGCAGCAGGGGCAGGTGGGGGAGGAGAAACTCGAGCAGGATGAGATCCCCCCAGAGGGGCAGCGAGCACCAGCCAGGACAGAAGAGGCACAGCTGGGCATCACCGGTGGGAAGGCCAGTGTACAGAGACACCGCAAGAGGCCACCTGGGTGATGTCTGTTGGGTGTGCAGGGGAAAGGTCTGGGCTGGAACCCACGGTGGTATCCACGCTATCCACAGCTGTGTGACTAGATATGTCCTCATGAAATCAAATTCAACGGATGACAGCCTGCCAGGGGTCACTGTGCCTGCCAGAGCCCGGCAGCAGGTGGAAGGAACAGCAAAGGGGAGCCCGGCCCCAGAGGGCAGCTAAATCCTCTTATCTGACACTGTATCCTCGGAGGGAGGGTGGGGGCATGGAAGGAGGAGAAGGTGTGGGGCAGAGTGGCAGCAATGCTCCTTCCGGGGCCAGGGAGCAGCATGAAGACAAGGGTCTGCTGTGTCTGGAACTGCAAGGGCATCTTTTGGCAGGAGCAGTTTCAGTAGAGTGATGCAGATGAAGGCAGCTTTTTTTTTTTTCAACTTACTGAATCTGTACAGTTTTCGTTTTTCATTCAATAGATACCAAAGAATCCACACAATAGCTGAATGGATGTAAGTCACATCGTATCACTTCTCTGCTTCAAACCCCCAAAGAGCATCTCATCAGAAAAAATCCCACCAAAGGTGCCATGACCTACCCACCTTCTGCCACGGCCTCCCTCCTAGTCCTGCCCACTTCCACCATGGCCGCCCCTCACCCCATGCACTCCAGCCACACTGGCTTGGCTGCTGTGCACACCTTTCCCCCAGGCTCCTGCCTTAGAGCCCCTGCCCCCTGCTCACCCCACAGCCCACAGGGTCCAGCCCTGGCCTCACTCAGACCTGGTCCTGAGAGGCCCTCCGCCATCCCTGGCTACTCACCACCCTGTTACAAAGGGTTACTTCTCTCTCTGGCCTTTGCGACTGACAGCTGCATCTGTCTGTTTACTCTGCCCGCCCCAACTAAAATACATTTCCAAAGACATCAAGAACTTCATCTGACACTATATCCCTTAAATCTGGACGGTGACACACACAGTGGAAGCAAGACACCTGTGAAACAACGGCCCTCAATACATGAATGATCAGACCAGAGGATTCAAGAGCTGTTTAGAAGAAAGAAGTGCAGAGTATTGGCCGGTGCTGCTAACAGGTGAGCTGAAACGTGATTATTTCAAAACGCCCTCCGTTTCCCCGTCCTGCGAGCAGAGCCCGCACGCGAGCAGCCCCGCCTGGATGTACTCACAGCAGCTAAGCTGAAACGTAATTATTTCAAAACGCCCTCCGTTTCCCGTCCCGCATGCGAGCAGCCCCGCCTGGATGTACTCACAGCAATCGCAGGTGGTGAAAAGTGCGATCGTCCTGCTTCAGCCACGGCCCTTTCTCGAACTTAACGTATTCAATGTCCTCTATCACCTAAGACAGGAAAAAGTCCAATTTAAACATAGAACCCCATTTTAGACATTTAAAGGAAATAACTTTTTTTTGAAACAGTCTGGCTCTATCATCCAGGAGGGAAAACAGTGGCGCAATCACAGCACACTGCAGCCTCAACCTCCAGGGCTCAAGCAATCCTCCCACCTCAGCCTCCCGAGCAGCTGCGACTACAGGCACATGTCACCATGCCTGGCTAATGTTTGTATTTTCAGTGGAGATGGGGTCTCGCCATGCTGCCCAGGCTGTCCTCAAACTCCTGAGCTCAGGTGATCCTCCCACCTCAGCCTCCCAAGGTGCCGAGATTATAGGCGTGAACCACCACGCTGGGCCAGGAAGTAACATTTTAATACATTATAAGCTACAAATATTTGGCAGGCAGAATCACACCATGACAGTCACGATGGAAGAGAAGCTGGCCGACCTGTAATGAAATGGGGGGTTGTGTGTTGCCTAGCTAACACTCGGGGATCAGGAATTAGTACAGACACACCCTGAGGCTGGGGACTGGGGAAAAGGACAGGAGGACAATGGAGACTACAGGAGAAAAATCAGCCTTCAGGACAGGCCACTCCGTTCTTCCCAAGTTTAACCTAAAAGGCAAAACCTAGCCCCTCAAAATGACCAAAGAATGAGACATAAATCCATTTCCCAGAGACACCTAATGAAGTAGCTGCCCAACCCCAAGCCTGACTGTCTACAGTCTGACCTTCCAGAGGAGCCACCTTTCCATACACATTCTCTCCTCAAAAGAGGCCAAACTCAGGAATGCTCTTCAGTTTTGAGAATTTGAGCAGATTCAAAAATGAACTCAAATAACAAGAGTGTTGGAGACAAATGTACCACTCTTCTTCTCAGATACATGCCACCTAAACATTCTCTGGAAAGTATAAAAATACTCTAAAAGCAGAAACAGAAGGCCAAGGAGAACAAGGAGAAATGAAATGTAATTTAATCAGTCCACGTAGAATAAACCAAGGTCTCAAAAGAACTCTTACAACTGGTGGTAGGAGAGGCCAGGCGAGAATGCAGGGCTTCCATCTGCAAGAAGAACGCTGCTGTGTGTGCAGAAAAGCTCAGTTACCCTCCCTCTCACCCTCCAGTGCTGAGAGGCTTCCACCCAAGCCGCCAACTCCTCAAACTGCTCTGTTACGCGGCACCGCTCACACTGAAGACCGGACCCTAAAACCCGTGTTTTCTTCTAGAATGTTTATACCTTGTTTTTAGTAATTTACGCTTAATATATAAAATACAAAACTTGTTTTTTAACAAATGGATGCTCAATTGCCTCGGTACCATTAGAAAAAACTTTCCTCTACTTCATTTCTGTGATTATCCTTTAAGGAACTAACTTTGCCAAACGGAAGACACTCACACACAGGTGCACACATACTTCTGGACTCCTGCTTCGCTCCATCAAGCTCTTTATTAATTCCTGCATTAACACCATAATGCTCTCCTAGGATAATCCTACAGGGCGTTTTGTATGTGAGAGGGCGAACATTCTTTCGTTATTCTTCTTCAGATGTTTTAATGTTTGTCTATTATTCATAAAGTTCTCTGAAAATGACACCAAGATTTACTAGGCTTTCACAAAATATAGTAATTTAGGGAAAACTGTTATCTTTACATGTAAATCCTTCCCATTAACTAATCCAACTTTCAGTCTTCCATTTCCTTAATAAAAATGTTGGAGCAGATGACCCAAGATTCTTTGACAGCTATAATTTTCGGAACATGGAAAGTGAATCACTTAAAAGAAAATCAAAACCTCGTGGCCAGAGAAGTGTGACGATGGGTCTGGTGCTTTTAGGTGACAAAATACTGATGTCTGTTAGGATCAGTGGGAATCTAACTGATGATCTGATTGGCAGGAACCTTATACATGAATCGAACGTAGGAAGGACTGTCAGCTCTCCAACCCTTTCTTACCTTCACTGAATCCTGAACCTTATACACGAATCGAACGTAGGAAGGACTGTCAGCTCTCCAACCCTTTCTTACCTTCACTGAATCCTGAACCTTATACATGAATCGAACGTAGGAAGGACTGTCAGCTCTCCAACCCTTTCTTACCTTCACTGAATCCTGGGCCTTATACATGAATCGAACATAGAAATGACCGTCAGCTCTCCAACCTTTCTTACCTTCACTGAATCCTGGGCCTTATACATGAATCGAACGTAGAAATGACTGTCAGCTCTCCAACCCTTTCTTACCTTCACTGAATCCTGGGCCTTATACATGAATCAAACGTAGAAATGACTGTCAGCTCTCCAACCCTTTCTTACCTTCACTGAATCCTGGGCCTCCCTTGCAGAATACTGTAAAATCTCACATTTCTCACTGTAAGAAAAAACAAGATCAAACTCAGTGCAGACTTCTCCAGGCCGAGGTTAAATGTACAAACGAATACACACCACTGAAGTTTCCGCTCGTATATTAAAACCTCACCTTCTCTGCACTGGGTGTTGTGCTGGGCATGTGAGGGCTCATTAGAGCTTAACTGGTTCAGGAGGACATGTTAAAAGAAGCCAAAATGTACTCGTGGCTGGCTTGTCAGTGACAACATCAGGTCCACCACCAACTGCAGTGCCCGCAGCAGGAAAGGACGACTGAGCCCAGGGCCTAACTGAGCAGAGGCACAGAGGGCATCTTCATTCCGAAGTACCCTCCACACATTAGGATGTAAACATAGAGCGTACATAAACACTCCGAGAACTGACAAGCTATTTGTCCTCAGACTGAAATCAGCATCTGACCCCTACGGTGGTGCCAAATGAACTTCACCATCTCTCCGACCATCTTCAACAGACCACTGGTTACCTCGACTACTAAGTGCAGGTAAAGTACTTGTACTATATGAAGCCTCACCATTACTGACTCACATCACTTCCAAAGTGTAGGAAAAATAAAAACGTCTTTAAGCTCCGTAGTCACTCGGTAACACGTGTTCCACACAAGTCTATAACACACAATCCACAGAGTCAAACAACTGGATCACAGCTTCCTACTACCAAGAGATCACCGTGAATGGTCAGACTGCAAGCAGAGTGAACGCTAAATCCCCGGTGAGGAAAGTAACTTCCTGCATCTGCCATTAGGGCAGCCAAGGAGAAGGTCATGCTAATTCCAGGACTTGCTCTGCTGCTTCCTGAACCGTCTGTAGCTACCCACTGTTATTCAGAAGAGAAAGGCACGAAGCGACAAAGGAGAATACTTCCCTCTGCAAGTCAGATAAGTGAGTATCAACTGAACTGTGCAGGAGACAGAGGTTGTAAACACCCCAGTGAACACGGCTGGCATGGAAACATTATTTTTCTCACACAGCAATATGAAAGGTCACAAATTATTTGACATATCTGTCACAAGAGTGGGCATGAGAGAACAGGACGATGTGACAGGTACGTTCAGCACACATAACTGAACGGACCTTAGCTCAAATCGGGAGGAAGGTGCTGTGTGGGGTATGGACGTGCGGGGTCAATGAGCTCCAGATCCCAAATCAGCTGCTGAGAGCAACCTGGAGAGTCCATCTTCTGTCTTCTGAGTGCCTCAATTCAGCATGCTAAAAGCCTCAGCAACAAACAAAACCGCTTTTGTCCGGTCGGTCACAGCTGCCTCCCATGCCTACTGCCTTGTGAAGGGAGGGCTGAAATAAGCAAGTATCAAGGGTGGGTGCAGGGATCTGGAGGAAAGCCCCATAAAGGGCTGGGCCAGTAGTTCACGTGTAACCTTAATGGCAGCTATTCCTACAGGTGGCTCTAGGCCAAGGAGAGCCACAAACTGTATTCCTGAACCCGCAAGCTACTCCCCTACTTCAGAGCCATCCCAGCTCCTCACCCCCTTAGAACAATCCGAAACAACAGACAGTTACAAAGCTGCAGTTTGATCTTGGTCCAGAATTCAACTCTTAAAATGCTGCATACTCCTCGTCTCTGAAGTCTCAGTCAGATGAGACATTCTTTCTCAGAAAGGCCTTCCCCACCCTGTCTTGTGCACCTCTGTGTCTCGGCAAACACTGACACTAGGAGCTGGCATTGTTGGAGCCGAGTACATAAATATTTGCTGAACAAAGGAATGGCCAAATGTTTGTGAAACTAAGTGATGCTCACACTCACTAACACATTCATGATTAAGGTGGTGGGGATAAAGACATGTACTCCTAGGATCTGGGTCATAAATACTGACAAAGCCAGAAAGTACAGACTCCTATGAGAGTTAGCTCGCTGTGCCTCTTAAAATCCCACAATACAAATACTTTAGAAAAGGCTGCAGTGCTCTTTATGCATTCATAGCAACACATTCAAAAACAGTGAAGCATCACCATCTATCAGCATGAGAGAGAAGGGCTAACACGGGAGGAGCCGCTCAGGGGAAGACAGGAGACACACACAAGTTCATCACCTTGTCAGGTCAACCTGCTTTATTTCAAACGCCAGTATTCAAACTAGACCAAACAGTTCTCTTACTTAGTTTTGATTTTACTGATTATTAATTACCTATGACCTAACAGTATTGTCTTCTAAGACTGTTCTGAAAATATTTAGTATTTAAGTAAACGATGGTTTAAATACACAGGCCCAGGAAACCTAATCTTGTTTCCGTTGGAAAAGAACTCCTGAATTCTAAAACATTATGACCCATCAATTTTAAAATACAACTTGTTATAGGCTTCTTGAAATTTTACATGAAAGAGTTTCAGCCACATTTCACAGTGAATTTCCAAGAGAAAACGTTTAAGATCCAAGTATATCCCAAAGCTGCAGTTCGATCTCGGTCTAGAACTCAACTCTTAGAATGCTGCAGACGGCATGGAGTGCGCCTGGCACTCACTCTTCAGCACGTGACAAATGACCCCACCTCTATCAGGTAGCTCCCAGAAATCCACACGGCTTGAGCCGTCAGGTAAGATTCAGTTTAACAATGAACAGAGACTGTATCTGTCGCTAAAACGGCAAGACCAAGTGGTCAAAAATAAATGCTTGAGGCTTACTGAATCTACCAGGGCGGCAAAGAACAGAAACGGACCCCCGTGCGCAGGCTGAAATCAGGCATTATTCTGCTGACGTTCTAGCTAGAAGCACCACCTGAGAAGTCAGGAGCAAACTCTTTCTCAGTGACGCTTCTGAAGTGAGAAGATCTCCAAGAATAATTTTTGAGTCTGAAATTCTAGGGTCGACTGTCTCTGTTCGTGCTGTTTATTCACACGGTTGTAGATACTTCCCTTGGAAACAAACAGGTTCAAAGGCAGCCAGAGGTCAGCCTCCCTCGTCTACTACCTAAGAAAGAAAAGCTTACCACGAACAAGCAGAGATGACAAAAACATTCATCCTTCCGCTAAAGAAAAAAATCGCTAAATAAAACATTTCTCTTACTCAGGTTTAATTTTACTGTTTATAATTACCTACAGTCTACCATTGTTCATATCAAAAATTCAGTATTCAATTAAAATAAATTTAAATTTAAACTTTATTTCCAAAATTACTATACTTTTCTTTGTTTTTATTCACAACTAGCAGTTCCTCTGACATTTTAAACAAGAAGAACATGAGATTTTTAGGCATCAAAAGACGCTTCGGTTTTTAAAAAGTATGAGAAATACTATAAAGATCTTCAATTCAAGCATTTCAATCTTGAGTTTAATTGGACTTGAATGAGTGTGGTAGACATTCCTTACATGTGGACACACCCAGGGACCACAGAATGACAGCTATAGGATATCATCCTTGAGCTTCCAATAAAGAAAGGAAGACACGCCTGTAATCCCAGCACTTTGGGAGGCCGAGGCGGGTGGATCACGAGGTCAAGAGATCGAGACCATCCTGGTCAACATGGTGAAACCCCGTCTCTACTAAAAATACAAAAAATTAGCTGGGCATGGTGGCACGTGCCTGTAATCCCAGCTACTCAGGAGGCTGAGGCAGGAGAATTGCCTGAGCCCAGGAGGCGGAGACTGCGGTGAGCCGAGATTGGGCCATTGCACTCCAGCCTGGGTAACAAGAGCGAAACTCTGTCTCAAAAAAAAAAAAAAGAAAGGAAGAGAGAAAAGAAAGGAAACCCGTCTGGTGCTGTTTCCTTCACCTAACCGTCAGTGAAGAATGTCTACAGAACCTGCTATCCTTCATGAACTTTCTCCATGAATACACTTCCGATGAATTCTTCCAGGTAAACATGAATGTTACTTGCCTCACGCTAAAACCTGCCATGGAATAGAGCTTGGGTTTACTTCTAGCAACAAAACACTTCAGAAATAAGAGCAAAAATATTGACAAGATCAGCAAACCAAAACAAATACGCCAGTAAACCCCACAAAATCAAACTGAAATATCTCCTGTTTTTCTCATTTATACACATCAGATTAAACATGTCAGACAATACCCACCGCAGTGGAAAACTCCCTGGCTGCTGGGGCCTAAGGCGCGACAGGCAGAGAAGTTTCCGTCCCGTAAATCAGTCACGTGCTTGACTCACCTCATCTCAGGGAGGAAGATTTTCTTATAGCTATTCTCAATGTCCTGCAGATAGGCAGAGGTGATCTTCATTTCGTGTGGCTAAACAAAAGCAGAGAAATTAAACGGGGAGACATTCAGACTTCCATTTTCTTTGACCCGTGCGTATATAAAATGCGAAGACAATCACTGAGCACTATTTCCGTACAGCTCACATCGAGCACTGCAGGGACAGTGGGGTGACAGAAAGGGGCCCCAAAATCAGTTAGAATCATTCTCCTTCTACTACAGGGAACACCTGAGCCTGCCCAAGTGCTCCCGCAGCGTGAGTTTCTCCACACGTTCTACGATGCATACTTAGGGCAAGAAAGAGGCCTGTTACAGAGCAGCACTGCCTGCCTTTCCGTCCGCCTCATGCCTCAGTGCAAGAATCAAAGCACCAAAAACTGGGGGCCGCGGCCTGTCTCTCCGCCATCTGTCACAGCACACCCTCTTGTCACCCGACTCTCCCTGCATCTCCAGCTTGCTCTCCACCTCCACAGCTCACCCATCTCCCTGCAACCCTTCTCCCGCTGTGTACAGCTCTCGCCTCCCTCATCATCTCAAATGTGCTATGCCAATTTCAGAAACTGGAAAATCCGATTATGAGTGGCAAGCTTTAAAATTTAAAACTCCTTACAGTTTAACCCTATCTTCCCAGCCTGTTTTATTTTCTTTGTGTCATTTAGGTCTATTTGATGTATTTCTTATTTATCTCCTTGTTTGTTATAGGTCCCCATCAGCACACGAGCTCCTGGCGAGGCCTCATCCACCCTGCCCACTGGTGTGCTCCCAGCACCAGCATCCAGTACAGAGTGGATGCTCAGCAAACGTTCACAGGAGAGAGAGAAGGAATAAAGAAACGAGTAGGCCTCTGTTTCAACTTACAAAATGAGGAAACTAATCTAAAACTGGATTATCAAAGATCATTCAGTCATACCCTTAAAATGGGTGAATTTTACAGAGTATAAATTATACGTTACTGAAGCTGTTCAAAGTCAGAAAAACCCTATCATTCAGAGAATATGCACTCCACTCGGATTAATTCCAGCAATGAGATGGGACACAGGGAAAGGATGATACAGGCAATGTGGCACTTCATCGTTCTGTCAAAAGGGGAACGACTGCAACTTTCCAACGAGGACGTGACGTCTGGGCAGAGACTGTCTCTGTTCACCTCCGTAGCCTCCTAGGTGCCTGGCACAGGTGCCGTACGTATAGGAACGCTCTGTCTTAGAGGAGTGAGCGAGCGAAATCAACAAAGTCTAAAAAGAGGTGATATGACTCTAAATCTCTATCATTAACCATGTTCCAACTGAGACGAGATTAAATGCTGACTGATTACGGAAGAAACTCAACCATCTCAGAAATCTAACCCGACCTGACTCGATGAACTGTTTAGTTATTATCACTTTGACTGTTTTCTCAGAGTCTAGAAATGGTTTTCTGAGACAGAAGTGCATTGAAATGAAAATGAAAACAGGACAATGACCCGCATTGGATAACACGGTGTCTCTTACAAAACTGGGTAGTTTTAGCTGGTGACGCTAGTTAAGACTTCGCTCAGAAAAATTAAAAAGTTGAAGCTCTACGTAGACCTCAGAATTATTTTTGAAATACTGTTTTCCCAGATAACAAAAGAATTAACTAAAGAATGTTAAATATATGATTTTTCTCAACGTCAGCATAATAAGCAAATGTGCCCAAAGTTACTCCACTGAGAAATGAACATTGTTAACTTGCAGTTCCCTTTTGCCACTTGATGGAAGGTTCTCGGAAGTCTAACTACAAACATACTTAAAAGCAAATGCTTAGGTAGTCAACGGTTCGGAGTGGCCCGAGAAAGGCATATACAGACGTCTCACTGCTTCTGCTACCGCAAAAGAGAGAAGGAAAGTTAGTCTCACGGATCTTTCAGGAGCAGCAAAAATTAACCAGAGCTAAGGCCAGCACGGTGGCTCACTCCTCTAATCCCAGCTACTCGGGAGGCTGAGGCAGGTAGATCACCTGAGGTCAGGACTGTGTTCCAGGTGGGTCACGTTCTAAGTGCTGACCACACACAGCGTGTGACTCTGTTCCAGGTGGGTCACGTTCTAAGTACTGACCACACACAGTGTGACTCTGTTCCAGGTGGGTCACGTTCTAAGTACTGACCACACACAGTGTGACTCTGTTCCAGGTGGGTCACGTTCTAAGTACTGACCACACACAGTGTGACTCTGTTCCAGGTGGGTCACGTTCTAAGTACTGACCACACACAGTGTGACTCTGTTCCAGGTGGGTCACGTTCTAAGTACTGACCGCACACAGCGTGTGACTCTGTTCCAGGTGGGTCACGTTCTAAGTACTGACCGCACACAGCGTGTGACTCTGTTCCAGGTGGGTCACGTTCTAAGTACTGACCACACACAGCGTGTGACTCTGTTCCAGGTGGGTCACGTTCTAAGTACTGACCACACACAGTGTGACTCTGTTCCAGGTGGGTCACGTTCTAAGTACTGACCACACACAGTGTGACTCTGTTCCAGGTGGGTCACGTTCTAAGTACTGACCGCACACAGCGTGTGACTCTGTTCCAGGTGGGTCACGTTCTAAGTACTGACCACACACAGCGTGTGACTCTGTTCCAGGTGGGTCACGTTCTAAGTACTGACCACACACAGCGTGTGACTCTGTTCCAGGTGGGTCACGTTCTAAGTACTGACCACACACAGCGTGTGACTCTGTTCCAGGTGGGTCACGTTCTAAGCGCTGACCGCACACGGCGTGTGACTCTGTTCCAGGTGGGTCACGTTCTAAGCGCTGACCGCACACGGCGTGTGACTCTGTTCCAGGTGGGTCACGTTCTAAGCGCTGACCGCACACAGCGTGTGACTCTGTTCCAGGTGGGTCACGTTCTAAACGCTGACCGCACACAGCGTGTGACTCTGTTCCAGGTGGGTCACGTTCTAAGCGCTGACCGCACACAGCGTGTGACTCTGTTCCAGGTGGGTCACGTTCTAAGCGCTGACCGCACACAGCGTGTGACTCTGTTCCAGGTGGGTCACGTTCTAAGTACTGACCACACACAGCGTGTGACTCTGTTCCAGGTGGGTCACGTTCTAAGTACTGACCACACACGGCGTGTGACTCTGTTCCAGGTGGGTCACGTTCTAAGCGCTGACCGCACACGGCGTGTGACTCTGTTCCAGGTGGGTCACGTTCTAAGCGCTGACCGCACACGGCGTGTGACTCTGTTCCAGGTGGGTCACGTTCTAAACGCTGACCGCACACAGCGTGTGACTCTGTTCCAGGTGGGTCACGTTCTAAGCGCTGACCGCACACAGCGTGTGACTCTGTTCCAGGTGGGTCACGTTCTAAGCGCTGACCGCACACAGCGTGTGACTCTGTTCCAGGTGGGTCACGTTCTAAGTGCTGACCGCACACAGCGTGTGACTCTGTTCCAGGTGGGTCACGTTCTAAGCGCTGACCACACACATCGTGTGACTCTGTTCCAGGCTGCAACCAGCCTGACCAACATGTAGAAAACTCGTCTCTACTAAAAATACAATATCAGCCAGGCATGGTGGATCATGCATGTAATCCCAGCTACTCGGGAGGCTGAGGCAGGAGAATGGCTTGAACCTGGGAAGTGAGCGTTGCAGTGAGCTGAGATCACACCATTGCACTCTAGCCTGGGCAATAAGAGCAAAACTCTGTCTCAAAAAAAAAAAAAAAACAGAGCTTTACTGTTGCCCTTATAAGAACCCACCGTTCAGAACGGTATTTACCGAGCACCTACAAGAATTCCAGCACAGAGGATGGGCACTAGAGTGAGGAACAAGCAGGCAGCCCTGCATTTTCATCAGTCTCCTCCAGGAAAACACACAACACAGTATTAAACAAGAACGAGCCACAGAGCAAAGATGGTCTTTGTTTCATCTCGGGATCCCCCATCAGGATGCCAACAGAGCTACCCACGGCCACAGGGTCACTTCAAAAGGCCTTGCTTCGAGGCCACCTAATTAAGATCTAACGAAAACCACGAAGAGTAAATGGATGTACGTGGAGATCACTGCTCTACTGCTCTGATGAAGGTTATTAGAAATCGCTTTCAATGTGTAAAACAATGGTAAGATACAAAAAGCTCATCAGAGAACAGAAAGGTACGTGACAAAGGGATGGAGGATGCTCTGCCAGGAGGTGCCCCCAGCCTCCCAAGAACAGCAGAGGGGACTCAGGGACAGTAGAGGGACCGCAGAGCACTGGTGGGCAGCAGATCTGCAAGTGGTGGCACCAGGCCGAGCCCTGGGGTCTCCCCCCAACCCCTGCAGGCGCCCTCTGTCAGGTGGGACCAGGGTGTGTGTCACCCCTCCTAGTGAGGACTGGCAGGAATTAGTATGCTATTACAACAGGACTTTTAGCGCTGATCTACGTTAAAAATAGAGAGGCTCGGCCTTTGACTGAAAAACGGCATTACATCTCCCTTCTTCTGAATCCGACGCTGGATCTCTGGAACTGGCACATCCAGGTAGATCACCAGGTGGGGAGGCAGGTATTCGCAGATGGTGACCTTCTTCACCTCGTTGTAGTGCTCCACACCTGGTACACACAGGAGAAAGGGGCATTGTCACCTAACAGTCCCCATGCAGGTTTCTAAAACATGCTCCTCCTTGAATAAAAGGGCAAAGATACATGCAATTCTCAGAGCCACGTACCAACCTACAAATCATATCACGGTCACCGTTCTAAGCACTGACTGCACATGGCACGTGACTATGTCTGTCCCAGGAGGGTCACAGTTCTAAGCATTGAGTTTTGCTTCTGAGGCAAGGTACAGGGCACACAAGATGAAAGTCACAGTTCAGTGATCTTTGAACTGAAATATATTCCATATGCCTGCAGTATGTATATTTCTCCATAGTAATAACAGATAAAAGAGTCTGGTCTTCTCTAGAGAAAAATACTTTAGCTTTCAAGTAACTCAGCTAAAAAACCGTCAAGCTACATTTGTCCAGGTTCAGTAAGTATACTCAGCTATAGAGAAGTATGTACTGAGTCAGATTTAGTGACAACACGAAATTGAAAGCAGCTAAGACTGAGGAATAATTCTCCTGAAGTGACCACTACACAGAATGCACAACGCAGACGGCACCCACGGGGCCCAGGCTGCCTGAGGGAACTCTGCTGCTCCGCAGAGCACTCTACACCTGCATGTGCTCACACACACCCCCGACCTCCTGGAAGCCAGCAGGGAGTGCACGCCAGTGCAAGTGAGAGGTCGTGTCGAGAAGCCATCCCCTCTGCAGCGTTTCGCATGGTGGAACCTTCCAGAAGTGACAAGCAGGCGGCCACACTAGGGTCCACAGAGAGACAACTATTTCACTTTAAAGGAAATGGGCTGGGAACAGTGGCTCACGCCTGTCATCTTAGCACCTTGGGAGGCCGAGGTGGGCACAGATTGTTGGAGCCCAGGAGTTCAGGACCAGCCTGGACGGCTTTGGTGAAATCCTGTCTCTACCAAAAATACAAATATTAGCCAGTCTCATAATCCAGTCTCAAAATAAATAAATAAACGAATAAATAAAAGTTTAAAAAATTAAAATTAAATTTTAAAAAAAGGTCCAGTGAGTATTCCTAGTAACCTTACTCTAGAGGTAATGGTGAGACGGGCCTTTGGCTCAGGGTCAGGGACAACATGACTAGAAGAACAAGACCACCAGGAGGAGGTGTGACAAAGCAAAGGACCGAGGCTGGCAGTGGGTGCTGTCCACCTGAGCATACAAACACAAACCCAGGTACAGGCAGAGCACGCCGGGCCTCGGGTCTGCCTCCTGACAGCTGGGCCGCTAGCACGCCAGTCTCTCCCCAGACTGAGGTGAAACCTCCCTTCACCAAGTCTCACCCTCACCCTTACTCCCGTTGGCACACCACTTCTCAGATGGTTCCTGCCATGCTCTGTGCCACCTGTCCTTTAGCCAACATGATCTGCTTCCCCCAGCCCAGCACTGAAATGACTCTGGCTAACGTCACCAGCCCCCAAAAGGTGAAATGTGGTGGTCACTTCTCCCTGGGGGTTCCATTTCTGGACCCCCCACACCTGAAGACACGAATGCCCACGGTCAGGGCTGGACCCCCCACAAGCCTGAAGACAAGAATGCCCACGGTCAGGTCTGGACCCCCCATGCCTGAAGACAAGAATGCCCACGGTCAGGTCTGGACTCCCCCCCCACACCTGAAGACAAGAATGCCCACGGTCAGGTCTGGACCCCCCACGCCTGAAGACAAGAATGCCCACGGTCAGGTCTGGACCCCCCACACCTGAAGACAAGAATGCCCACGGTCAGGTCTGGACTCCCCCCCCATACCTGAAGACAAGAATGCCCACGGTCAGGTCTGGACTCCCCCCCCACACCTGAAGACAAGAATGCCCACGGTCAGGGCTGGACCCCCCGCCAATGCCTGTGCAGTGCCCCTCCTGAGCAGCAACTCCCACTGTGCAGCCTCCCTGTTGGACACACCTATCCCACCCCGACTTCCTCCCAGATAGGCTCCTTCCCTTTCCATCTCTCCTCACCAGGTGCATCCTTCAGTTGGAGGCCTGAAACCATTTTAAACTCATCTAACCCTGTCCCTGCCGTGCTAAAAACCCTCCAGCGATCACTTGCTACTTTCAGGACAAAAGACAAGCACCCTTGCCAAGTTGCAGCCCTTTCCTTGTGCGGCCTCATCCAGCAGCATCTCCCCCAGCACGAGCCCTCCCCACAGGACACACGCAGGCTCCTCCACCATCCCACACCTCCCTCACTCCCAATGCGCTCCAGGTGACTCACCAGAAGGCCATTCGTCAAAACAGCTGCCCCTGACACACCCCTCCCATCTCCCAGCCGGTCAACATTTCTGCTGTGTGCCCCCACAGAACCCGGGGGCAATGCACAGGAGCTGCTAAGTACACTTTCTCGCAATTAACCATCTCCACTGGTTTAACAGCCCCCAACCCTGGGCCTGCGGGAGCCCTGTCTTAGGTTCCTTCACATTCATATCCCTAGTACCTAAGAGAGCCTGGCACGCCGCAGGCACTCCAGAAACACTGGCTGGTGACCTGACCTGCTGCCCAGCATGTCCAGGGAGGATCAGCCCCTATGAGAAGCAAGGGCTGGCACTGCTCTTGTGGGCCACAAGCTCACAGGTGGAGTATCCCTCCACAGAACCGTCACCTGGCTTGCTTCGGCCTCCCGTTTCAGGAACCAAGAGCACTGACTCTGAGCTCCCAGATTCCAGCTGCCCACCGGCTCCAACCACCCCAGTCCATAGATGAAATGCCATCAGTAAGACTGTCCACCAGGCCTATTCGACACACCACCCAGGACAGTCCTAGACACACATCCCAACCCCACCCTGGCTCCTCAAGGTCAGCCTGCTTCAAACCCGGGGTTCTTCGTTCCTTTCCATCTGCCACTTGTCAGACCTTCCCTAGTACAGGAACACAAACCTACTGTCCTGAAAAACAGCAACGTGTCAGAGGGAAGGACTGTGACGACGTAAAAGTGGAGCGTTGGTTACTACCACAGCACAGGTACAGGAAGAACAGCAGAGGGATCGCTAGGGCAAGCTGAGAGTGGGGCGCAGACTGCGGCGCTGCGGTTTAAGCCATGCGTGTTTGAGGTCCGGGGCTCCGATCTGCTCTCACAGGGAGACATGATATCACAGGAGGGAGGAAGGGTGGAAGACACCTCAGGAAGTCCCTTTTTCCAGTGGAGACTCATGAAGTAATGGCATCTATACACCTACCTCCCAGACACTCATAAACACAGTGAGCGCAAGGTGAGTCTGCCACAGCCTTTGCAAAGCCACATTACACACCCACAAGCCCGTCCGCAGCCCCGACTCACACTGCTTTCGGATGTACCCCTGGTTGTACATGGCGTCCAGGAACACAAAGTCACTGAAGATGGAGCGCTCCAACACAACGCCTTGTCCTGTTTAAAAGCAGGTGAAGAGAAATGGAAAATCAGACAGCAATGCACTGGAGACTCATCACTGCACGGCAGAAAAGAAAATAATGGTCATTCACAATTTCATTTCCACACCAAATGTACCGAGAAGAACAAATACATATTCACAAGTGGAAAATCATTTTCAAAATCTAAAATATCTTTTCAGTTTTGAGCAACGTAACATTGTTTCATTCAGTCAGCTATAATCAAAGCAACCCGTTAATACAAAGAGTGCTTTGTTTTTAAATAATGTATTCCACCCCTACCATGCCCACCCCATCCTCCTCCTGCCGCTCCCACTCCAGCCAGCTCTCCTGATGCCCGGCTGCTTCTCAGCCTCACTTGCTGTGCTACTGAAGAACACTCACGCAGCACACAGCACTAGTCCCCAAGGTCCCCCGCCAGCCTCCCTGCAGTCAGTTCTGCCAGGAAGAGGCGTCCCTCATCATCCTACCCAGCCTCTCCCCGTGGCCTCAATCTCAGAGCACCTGCCACATACGAGGGACAACATACTCTTGTGACCACATTGAGTCTTCATCCCCTACTGAACACAAGCTTCACCACATACTGAACACAAGCATCACCCCTACTGAACACAAACTTCACCACATACTGAACACAAGCATCACCCCTACTGAACACAAGCTTCACCCTGACTGAACACAAGGTTCACCCCTACTGAACACAAGCTTCACCCCTGCTGAACACAAGCTTCACCCCTACTGAACACAAGCTTCACCACATACTAAACACAAGCATCACCCCTACTGAACACAAGCTTCACCCCTACCGAACACAAGCTTCACCCCTACTGAACACAAGCTTCACCCCTACTGAACACAAGCTTCACCACATACTAAACACAAGCATCACCCCTACTGAACACAAGCTTCACCCCTACCGAACACAAGCTTCACCACATACTAAACACAAGCATCACCCCTACTGAACACAAGCTTCACCCCTACCGAACACAAGCTTCACCCCTACTGAACACAAGCTTCACCCCTACTGAACACAAGCTTCACCACATACTAAACACAAGCATCACCCCTACTGAACACAAGCTTCACCCCTACCGAACACAAGCTTCACCACATACTAAACACAAGCATCACCCCTACTGAACACAAGCTTCACCCCTACCGAACACAAGCTTCACCCCTACTGAACACAAGCTTCACCCCTACTGAACACAAGCTTCACCACATACTAAACACAAGCATCACCCCTACTGAACACAAGCTTCACCCCTACCGAACACAAGCTTCACCCCTGCTGAACACAAGCTTCACCCTGACTGAACACAAGGTTCACCTCTACTGAACACAAGCTTCACCACATACTGAACACAAGCATCACCCCTACTGAACACAAGCTTCACCCTGACTGAACACAAGGTTCACCCCTACTGAACACAAGCTACACCCCTACCGAACACAAGCTTCACCCCTACCGAACACAAGCTTCACCACATACTAAACACAAGCATCACCCCTACTGAACACAAGCTTCACCCCTACCAAACACAAGCTTCACCCCTACTGAACACAAGCTTCACCCCTACTGAACACAAGCTTCACCACATACTAAACACAAGCATCACCCCTACTGAACACAAGCTTCACCCCTACCGAACACAAGCTTCACCACATACTAAACACAAGCATCACCCCTACTGAACACAAGCTTCACCCCTACCGAACACAAGCTTCACCCCTACTGAACACAAGCTTCACCCCTACTGAACACAAGCTTCACCACATACTAAACACAAGCATCACCCCTACCGAACACAAGCTTCACCCCTACCGAACACAAGCTTCACCCCTGCCGAACACAAGCTTCACCACATACTAAACACAAGCATCACCCCTACTGAACACAAGCTTCACCCCTACTGAACACAAGCTTCACCACATACTAAACACAAGCATCACCCCTACCGAACACAAGCTTCACCCCTGCCGAACACAAGCTTCACCCCTGCCGAACACAAGCTTCACCACATACTAAACACAAGCTTCACCCCTACCGAACACAAGCGTCACCCCTACCGAACACAAGCTTCACCCCTACCGAACACAAGCTTCACCCGTACCGAACACAAGCTTCACCCCTACCGAACACAAGCGTCACCCCTACCGAACACAAGCGTCACCCCTACCGAACACAAGCGTCACCCCTACCGAACACAAGCATCACCCCTACCGAACACAAGCGTCACCCCTACCGAACACAAGCGTCACCCCTACCGAACACAAGCGTCATCCCTACCGAACACAAGCGTCACCCCTACCGAACACAAGCTTCACCCCTACTGAACACAAGCGTCACCCCTACTGAACACAAGCGTCACCCCTACCGAACACAAGCTTCACCCCTACCGAACACAAGCTTCACCCCTACCGAACACAAGCGTCACCCCTACCGAACACAAGCGTCACCCCTACCGAACACAAGCGTCACCCCTACCGAACACAAGCTTCACCCCTACCGAACACAAGCGTCACCCCTACCGAACACAAGCGTCACCCCTACCGAACACAAGCTTCACCCCTACTGAACACAAGCGTCACCCCTACCGAACACAAGCGTCACCCCTACCGAACACAAGCGTCACCCCTACCGAACACAAGCGTCACCCCTACTGAACACAAGCTTCACCCCTACTGAACACAAGCGTCACCCCTACTGAACACAAGCGTCACCCCTACCGAACACAAGCGTCACCCCTACCGAACACAAGCGTCACCCCTACCGAACACAAGCGTCACCCCTACCGAACACAAGCGTCACCCCTACCGAACACAAGCGTCACCCCTACTGAACACAAGCGTCACCCCTACTGAACACAAGCGTCACCCCTACCGAACACAAGCGTCACCCCTACCGAACACAAGCGTCACCCCTACTGAACACAAGCGTCACCCCTACCGAACACAAGCTTCACCCCTACTGAACACAAGCGTCACCCCTACTGAACACAAGCGTCACCCCTACTGAACACAAGCTTCGCTCCCTGCGGCACCCTCAGCTCCTAGAACGGGTCTGGCGCACAGCTGGCACACACTAAACATTTAATGAACACACTGACCCAGTTCCAATGTGCCCCAAGAATACTGTGCCGCAGCAAACCGCACTTTGTTTTTCTAAACGGGAAACAGGTTAACACAGCACAAAAGGAAGCAAGTTTTTATTTAACAAGTAAAATGTTTCTTTTTGATTTTAAGAAATGAGTAGTCAGAAGACAGCCTTGAAGAATGCTTCAAAAAGAACACGGAGTGAGCCCAGATGTCAGTATGAAGTCCCGGCTACTATGTCAGCTCCTGGACTAGCTCCTGGTGAAGAACCTCAGATGCGAGACAGCAGACCACACTGTTTTCTCAGGAGTAACGCTAACTAAGACCAGGGCTTACGCTCATGTAGGAAAAAAAGAATCGCTAATAAAATGCTGAAAAAGCAACACAAGAATTCCACCCCAGAAACTGTGTAGATGCATATATCAGACACACACTGCGCCCACGGAGACCTGCAGGAGCACAGGCAGGGGCTCCTGAGCACAGCTCCGTGAAGCAGCCCGTCAGCCGGCCACTCCTGCTGAAAAGCACATTCTTGTTCTCACAGCTCAGACCCCGTGAAGCCAACCCTCGTGGCAGCTGAGCTGGCATAAGAAGCTCATCAGGGTCACCACTGATCCACCAGTGTGGCCAGCACTGCAATATAAACAGACACGAAAGCCCCAAGAATGCACCCATCTCCCTCTCTCCACACACAGACGTACCATTTGCTGCTACCTGTGAATTCAGGACCACCGAGCCATGGTAGCTTTGGCCAAAAATCAGCAGTGCATCTGCGGTCCAACTGTCAGGATGTCTAGCATGCACTGCTGTTTCCTGGGATGAGAACAGTGGCCCCTGGCTGGGTCCTAACCACATTCTGCACACAAGAAGTCCATGTTCCTGCCCTTGCATCCAGCTTCCCTCCTCCTCCTAACTCTACTTTCTGATCCCAGGCTCCCTAATACAAAGCCCTTGTCCATTTCTTCCCCTCCTGGATAACGTCCAGGGAAGCACCCTCCTGTCCTGCACGGGCCTAGGGTACGCTGTGTGTTCCGCCTCCTCTGTCATCGTATCAGGCTGACGTCTACCTTGTGGCTCTATGGTGATCCCAGCCTGTCTCTGGCCCTCCAGGACAACGCTACTCTGTTGCCACCCATACCTCTCTGTCTGTGTGGCACACGAACTACCTTCCTAAGTGTCATCCCGCTTCCTCCTGGACACTTCTAGGCTCTCTTTCCCCTTTTGTTCTGACACATTTCATGCATAGATGAATATGTAAGTACTGAAATTTAAACCCGTGCCTTGAGAATTCTACACAATCCATAAATCTCACTCCAGTTCCCACAGTGAAACAGCAGGAAGTTGATTTTATTCTGAAGAAAAGTAACAGGATCTCAGGAAATTTACAACCCTGTTGGAAAGACAGACCTTACCTCCCCAAACACCCTTAAAGCCCGACTTAGCAGCAATTTTAACGGCTGAACTGTAGAACAGCACTGAAGTACAGAGCCAGCCTGACCGCCAGCGGGCCGCACCTGTGGTCAGCAAGTGCTCCAGGGCGTCGGCGTACTGCAGGAGGCGATTGCAGTACAGCCAGGACTGCAGGCGGTAACTGTTGCCGTCACTGCTTCGTGGATCATCGTAGAATTTCTCCAAGCTGCAGTTGCCACCGTAGGCTATGTCCAGGGGCTTCCCATCTCCTCTGGTGAGGTCTGCATAGTGTATACCCGCTTCGGGAAAGTGCCTTAAGCCTGAAAAGAGGAACAATGGGATGTCGCCTAATGCACAGGCTCCGTCCCTGCAGGGAGCAGCACAGACCAGCCAAACACACGGCCCATCTAAGTAGCACCACCAGGGGTGGCTCCAAAGACCTGGAGGATGTCACCTCCACACCTGGGTCTCATCACGTCTGAAGGGAACACACAACATATCGAGCATGCATGTGGGCAAAAGAGCTGTACGGTGACTGGGAACAGGCTCCTCCTGAAAGGACAGCACCTGTAACCACAGGAGCCCCCCCTAGCGGGCAGCTGCTGTCACGCAGGTGCTACCAAAAGGTATAAAGGACACACATCTGTACCAGGAGGCGGCGGGAAGGGGCTCTAACCTTGGCTTTGTGACCAGCTGCGTGGCACTGCTCACTCAGGAGTACACCCACCTGTGAGTGAGTACCAGCCTCAGCTCTATTTCAGAGGCAGTCACAAAGTTCAAACACGACAGCTGACGTGGAAGTGTCCTGCTTACACTGTCCACATAAAATTCCAACTCAAATTGACAACCAGCATGATTTTTTAAATTCTCCAAATATAAAAGATTAAAAATAGCTCTTTCTTGTTTTGTTTTAAAAAGCAGCTTCTTCAATAAACAATAATGTAACATACCCACCTTAGGCCCAATTATTAAATATTTAAAATTAATTTAATATGAATCAATATTGGAAAAAACCAGTGAGAGAAGCAACCATCTAGCTCAGAAATAAGTATCATTCTGTGTAACATAAATTCGTACCTAGTTGCTCTGCTATTTCCTTTGCAATTCTGCCTTTTCCCGCACATATATTGCCATCTACAGTTATCACGATGCTGCGTTCCGTCATTCTTTTGGTGGCTCTCTCCCCAAGTAGGTAGTGCCACATTCCATATCGCAGCTTGCGCCGCGCACTGGTGTGAATTCCTTCCTGCAAAACACAAAATCACACAGCAGCACACTGTGACCACTCCAGTTCCTATTAGCAACTATCAGGTAAAAATACCAAGAAACCTCTTGGTGATAAAAATGCCAACATCCACATCTTTATTGCCTATTGATTGCCTAACAGATATAGTGTCTGTTTGTTCAGTGCTAAATCCTCAGGGCCTGGAACAGTGTCTAAAATTTTTATGATATATGCTTACTATGTTCAATAAAAATTGGATGGATGGATGGATGGATGGATGAGCGGACGGAAGGAAGGAAGCAAGAAAGACAGGGATGGGGGGAGTGCGATATACACTCCCTGACAAGCAAAAGACAGCAAATTTGAGCGTCATCTTTGGTACTCTTCTCCTTCCTCCAACCGCAGCATTAAACACAAAATCCCAACTCTTCAAACTCTGTGGACGCTGCATCACCTCCCTACGCCACGCACTGACTCTGCAGACATCCTCACATCTCTCACCTGCAAGGCAAAGCCTGCTTCAACTCCTGTCTCCAACATCCCAATTCATTCTCCACGCTAAACCCAAAACAATCCTTCCAAAAAAAGAAAAGAAACAGAACCAAAAGTAAGGCAAACTGAAACAGTTCAACACATATGATGGGATAATAGCCTTACTGTATACAGAGATTGTACAGAACAGTAAGAAAAACATAGAAAAACGCACGGCTTATTTTAAAATTATAAAACAGGGCCAAAAAGCACATGAAAAAGTGGCCGACCTTGCTACAAAAACACAAGGCTATTAACAAGGAGAACGTGCTTTTCCACGTATTGAGAGGGAAATACATCTAAAAACGATGCGAAGTGTGAGGACAGGACAGCGAGCACCATGATGAACTGCGAATGGTAATTAAACCTAGAGGCTACTGGGTCTGCAGCATCAGGAGCGAACCCAAAGGGTATGTACACGGATCTGAGCAAAGACTGCCCTGTAAGAATGCTCAATGAAGAATGATATATAACACCGAAAATGCAAACAGAAACCCTTAAATGTCCAACGCCACATCCGTAGTATGGAATACTAAGTACTCAGAAAATACAAAAGCATTAAAATACTTTGTTGTGAAATTTAAATAAAACAGGAGAACATAGAATAATACCAAGATTTTCTTTCGATCTTGATTTACTTGTAACTGAAAAGTAAGGAAGAAACAAGTTATCAAACATAATGCAAAGCAAACGACCCAGTTTTAAAATGCGCAAAAGATGTGAACACCTCTCACAAATGAAGACAACACAGGTAGCAAATAAGCGTAAGGGGCCGAACACTGTTTGTCATGGGATTTAAAACATGTCATGGAGTTAAAACAAAATACCGCTACGCATCCACTAGAACGGACAGCCATTCAAAGTAACGGGCAGCCCCGCATGCCGGCGAGGACGCAGAGCAACAGGAGAGCATTCACTGCTGCTGGGAGTTCAATGGCAAGGTCACTCAGGAAGATGGCTTGGCAGCTTCTTAGAAAATGTCTTACTACATGTCCAGTAATCACGCTTCCAGGTATTACCCAACTGATATAAAAAGTATTTCCACAAAGATATGTGCACGTACATGATTACAGCAGCTTCATTCAGAATGGCCAAAAACCTGAGGCATCCAAGATGCCCTTCAGCCGCTGAATGGATTAAGTACATCCGCACAATCCAATATTCAGGGGTTAAAAAGAAATGAGTTATCAAGCCACGAAGACATAAGTGACTCTTGCATAGGTATTTCTCAGTATTCCAGGAGTCTAAGAAGGCAACATAGTGTTATTGTTCTAATTATATGATATTCCAGAAAAGGCAAATCCATGGAAATGGTCCAGAGATCTGCGGATGTCAGGGGTTTGGGAAAAAGAAGGGCTTAACAGGTAAAGCACAGGGTTTTTTTTTTTTAAGGCAGTGAAGCTACTCTGTATGATCCTATAATGGTGGAGACGTGCCATTTATACACTTGTCAAAACCCACAGAACCTTACGGCACAAGGAACGCGCTCAATGTATGCACATTTTTAAAACCTCATTAGGTAGAAGTGTCCCAGGACGCGAGGCAGAATGCGACAAGGCAATCCAATCGTGTTACAAACGTAAGAAACAGCCTGACCGGGGCAGGTGGGGGCGAGGTGCTAGGAAAGCAGAGCAGTCTGCAGGACTAACGGCAGGAGGGACAGGACACAGCGCTGGACTCCGCTTCTGCTCAATAGGCATCACCCCAGCTCCCCGCAGGGCCCGTCCTTTAGACACAGAGCGGCTCCGTGAAGGACCGAATGACAAGCGCGCGCCCCGGCCGGCCACCTGCACTCCGGCCTCCGCATCAGCGCAGCCTCGGGGACGACCACCTCCGCGCTCCAGCGTTTTGCTTAAAGCTGAGATAAAACGGCCTGAAGAAGCACGCGGCCCCCCTGAGGTCTGTCCCGGACCGAAGACCAAACAATTCCGGAGGCAGGAGGGGCTCCCCCAACCCACCCCAGAGCGACCCCGGGAGCCGCCGCCAGAGGCCGAGGGAGATGCGGAAGTGCCCCTGCCCCCGCCGCCCGCTCACCACGCGCTGGACGCTCGCAGCCAGGACCGGCGCGGACGCCGACTTCGGGGCCAGTCTCAGTAGCCGCAAGGCCATGGCTACCCCGTCAGCTCAGGCTCAAGGACCCACAGGGACGCGGTCGCGACGGGGCCTTCTCCTGCGGCCGGCGCGCCGCTGTGACGTCACGGCCAGGGTGCCCGCGGCGCCTGTCAGGAACTTTCCAGCGGCGCGTGGGGGCGGGGCCGCGCCGAGACCCTCGGGGGCTTCCGCGGACAGCACGGGCGCGCCTCCCTGCGGGCTGCGCTGAGGGCTGAGGGGTGGGGGCCGCAGGGGTGGGGGCGGCAGGGGTGGGGGTCGCAGGGGAGGGGGGTCGCAGGGGTGGGGGTCGCAGGGGAGGGGGGGCCGCAGGGGTGGGGGGCCGCAGGGGTGAGGGTCGCAGGGGAGGTGGGCCGCAGGGGTGGGGGTCGCAGGGGTGGGGGGTCTCAGGGGTGGGGCCGCAGGGGAGGGGGGGCCGCAGGGGTGGGGGTCTCAGGGGAGGGGGGTCGCAGGGGTGGGGGTCTCAGGGGAGGGGGGCCGCAGGGGTGGGGGTCTCAGGGGAGGGGGGCCGCAGGGGTGGGGTTCTCAGGGGAGGGGGGGTCGCAGGGGTGGGGGTCTCAGGGGAGGGGGGCCGCAGGGGTGGGGGTCTCAGGGGAGGGGGGTCGCAGGGGTGGGGGTCTCAGGGGAGGGGGGTCGCAGGGGTGGGGGTCGCAGGGGTGGGGGTCTCAGGGGAGGGGGGCCGCAGGGGTGGGGGTCTCAGGGGAGGGGGGCCGCAGGGGTGGGGGTCGCAGGGGAGGGGGGCCGCAGGGGTGGGGGTCTCAGGGGAGGGGGGCCGCAGGGGTGGGGGCCGCAGGGGTGGGGGTCGCAGGGGAGGGGGGGCCGCAGGGGTGGGGGCCGCAGGGGAGGGGGTCTCAGGGGTGGGGGCCGCAGGGGTGGGGGTCGCAGGGGAGGGGGCCGCAGGGGTGGGGGGGGCTGCAGGGGAGGGGGCCGCAGGGGAGGGGGGGCCGCAGGGGTGGGGGCCGCAGGGGAGGGGGGCCGCAGGGGTGGGGGTCGCAGAGGAGGGGGCCGCAGGGGTGGGGGGGGCTGCAGGGGTGGGGGTCGCAGGGGAGGGGGCCGCAGGGGTGGGGGGGCTGCAGGGGTGGGGGTCGCAGGGGAGGGGGCCGCAGGGGAGGGGGGGTCGCAGGGGAGGGGGCCGCAGGGGTGGGGGTCGCAGGGGTGGGGGCCGCAGGGGTGGGGGGCCACAGGCCCCCTGCCCGGCTGCGCCCGGGTTCTGACTTGCTGCGATGGCGGGGGCTGAGGCCGCCCAGGGCGTGGAGCGACTTCTGCGCCCAGTCCCAGGTCCACGCCAGGCGCGGTGCGGACGTCACGCCACCTCCTAGAGAACGTCCCCAGCTCTCAGAACGTCCCAGCGGGGAGGGAGAGGGACGAGGAGGGGGGTACGGGCTGGGACCCCTGCCCCAGGGCTACACTCCGGCACCGGGACCTGGCAGGGACGGCCTGGGTGGCCGCTGGAGCTGAAGGCTAAATGGTCTCATCCAGGGGACCTGCTGTGAACACGTTAGAAACAAACAGAAAAGCGCGCGCTCCAGGTCCGTGTCTTACACCTGCTCCCGTCGGGGACCTGGGCTCGGGGCCCCACGGAGGAACCTCGCCTGTGAGGTTTCCTTCCAAGTCGGCCTGCTGTTTGGAAGCCTTGTTACCATCCGTGTACCTCGAGCTTTTTGTTCTCAACCCCTTAGATATTCTTAAACTTTGGTTCTCAACTTTTCAGAAGTGATCATGCGATTGTAAAACAGTGGCAATGCCGTGGTATAAACTAAGTTTCTATGGATGTTTCTATAATTGAAGAATTGCTTTTTGTCAAAAATATGGATTCCCAGTCCCCAACGCAGGAGGGCCTGAATTTTAGATCGTGGAGGGACCCTGAAATGTATTTAACAAGCTTTCAGCTAACTCTGATGCGAAGAGTCCGCATGAAGGAAATACTGTTCTGGACACCGTTTAAGGGGAGCAGGGACCACGCCCACATCCTTCACGGGGCTCCAGGCCCATGCAGAGCTCCCGACGCATCACAGATGTGCCACGAAGAGAGTATGGACACACACACAACTGGAGTGTGTAACCAGATAGCCCTAAATCCTCCGGCCACACTGAGTCACAGCTTATTTTCAAATGGAAGGACTCAAGGCCTCCCTCCACATCTCTATCTCTAGGAAGTCCAGCATCTTTTTCAGTGTTTCTGAGAATTCTGGGAAATGAATGGGGGATGGCAGGGCGTCTTCAGATTTTCTCATCTCGATCATTATCCATCCTAGCCACATCTGGCCTCCGATGCTCCAGTTGTCTTTCCCAGCTTTACCCCAGGTGAAGACACAACTTTATCTTATTTTCTAAGGCAAGATTCTAGTGTTTCAATTTTTACTGATGGCATGGGAAAAGGAGAACGATCACCATGGGAAACAGAATATACAATCAGATAATTGCCGGACATCACTGTCCTGAACTTTCTCAAACATTTCCACCAAATGGAATTATTTGTTATCTACCATTACATTTTGGAAATTGGCTCCCTGTGTCGGGCACTTCTCACACTGCCTCCTCTCCTCTCTGGACGTGCTCGTCTGCAACTGGATTTAAAGGCGTCAGGACTGAGGAGACAAAATACAGGGAGGCGGGGCTCCTGGTTGATGGTGCCTGGCTCAGCTGGTGGTGTTGGAGGACTTGTCAATCAAGAGGGACAATGAGCACCCCTGGGCAGCAAACCCTATACTCAGCAAAACCATTCTTTGGTGGTTAGTGGGGATGAGGGAAACGAAGGCATTCTCAGGTGATGAAAAATCTAAGATACTTTGTCTCCAGCAGACTCTTCCCTCCTTTAAAGTTTGACTGAAGGAAGCTTCTCAAATATAAAGAAAATAACACAAGAAGGCTAGGGCCTTCAGAACAACAGAATAGGTAAAATAGGGCAGAATATAATAAATTATCCCTCACCTACTGAGTTTTTAAAATTATATTTGGTGGTTAAAACAAATATTGTAGCATTGTTAATGTAGTGCTCACTGTATATATAGGAAATGTAACAATCACTACATAGAAAATGGGGAGGGTAAAATCACCTAAATGACAGAAATCTGTAATACTCCCCCTGAAGCAGTAAAACATCCACCGCGGGGTTGTGAGAAGTTGCATCTGCATGCTGTGATACCTAGAGCAGCCACTACGAAACTATGTAATGGTCCTTCCTGAGACATTATCAGCAAATCAAGATGGGATTCCAACAAAAAATGTACTTTGTCCATTGGAAGGTAAGAAAAAAGGCAGAGAAAACAAGACAAAGACCAGCAGGCGTGATCCCTGATCTGTTAACTCCTTGATAACCTGAACAGTCCCGTGCCCATTAAAGTTCAGTCTGTAATTTTAACACACACACCCCCGCCAGAGGAGTCCCAGTTCCAGACAATCTCACTAGAGAATTTTAACAAATGTTTAAACAACTTTATACAATCCTGTCCAGAAAACAGAAGAGGAGTGAATGCTTTTCAACTTGTTTTATGATACCAAAACCATACAAAGACAGTATGAAAATAACTTTAAAACCCTATTGACCAATGTTTCTCACGAACTTAGATACAAAAATCGTTAACAAGTTAGCAAATTGCATCCAGCACTATATAAAACGAGTGATACACCACAACCCAATGTGATTTATTCAAAAGATGCAAGACTAATCTGGAATTTGAAAATCAACCAACATAATACACCCTATCAGCAAGAGAAAGAAGAAAAGTCTATGGCCAGAATGCCTGATGCAGTTTTCTGCATCGCTTGACAAAATTAAATATTCCTTTATGATAGAAACAAAACCTGCTCTCCGCAAATAATGACTAGAGGGGAGCTGTTTCAACTTGAGAAAGCACGCACATGGAAACTGCATCATCGCACTTAATCCTGAAGGGCTGAGCGCTCGCCTTCTAAGCAGGAAACCGCGCAGGGATGTCTGCTCTGCCCACTCTTGTTCAACAGAGCACTGAAAGTTCTAGTCATAACTCATGCAGTAAGGCAAAAAGTAAAAAATAAAATTCATACTGATCAGAAAGGAAGAAAACTGTCTCTTTTTAGTTGACCTGACTGTTCACATGGAAAATCCGAAGGAATCTACAAAAAATTCCTAGACCTGATGAGTGAGAGCAGCAGGTTTGCAGGATACAGTGTCGACATACGAAAATCAACTGCACCCTGTGTGCTGACAAACAGGTGGAATTGGAAATGAAAGATGGAATGCCATCTACAGTTTCTTCAAAGAAAATATAATACTAAGGGCTGAATCCGTACAGAATCTGTACACTAAAAAGCGCAGAACACGATGAAAAGCATTAAGAAGACCTTAATAATTGGAGAGGCTTACTATGTTCATGGATTGAAAGACTCAACAGAGTAATAAAGTCACTTCTTCCCAAATTGATTTTTAGTTTTAACGGAATTTCTAGCAAAATCTCAGCAAGGTTTTCTTGGAGACATAGACAGGCTTATTATAAAATTATATAAAAATGTTAAGGCCCTGAAATAGCCACAATAATTTTGAAACAATGAAGTGAGAGGAGTCACTCTGCCAGTGTTAAGAATTGCTACATAATGATATTAATCAAGACTGTGTGATGTTGATAGATGCATAGACCCGTTTAACGGAACAGAGAATCCATAAATAAGCCAACACACGTTCTCAACTGATCGAGTTGTGTACCACATAACAACATTTGGTCAATGATGAACCGAACAGCATATAAGATGCCGGTCCCATAAGATTATAATATTATATTGTTACTTACCTCTTCTATGTTTAGGTACATAAATTGTGGTTGAGCACAATGGCTCACCCCTGCTGGGAGAGGCAGGACAGGGTTTCTTCCAGCATAATGTATTGTGTGTACATAATACAGTATATGCATTAATTATCCCAGTCTAAATGTATTATGCATTATGTATTATACAGTATAAACGTATTTGCATTATGTATTGTGAATATTGGACAGCAATGAGAACGCATGGATTATTGTTACCTGCAAAAACATCAAGGACTCATCAAGCAGCGCGGTGACTGAAAGAGGTCGAAGTAACAGGGTACCTGCTTTATGATTACATGTATAAACCCCCCAAAAACACCGAAGGTAGCATCTGGTTTTGGAAGTCAGGATAGTCGTTCTCGTGGAGCAGGGATAATGACTGGGAGAGGGCATGAAGGCAGCTTCTAGTTCATGATCTGGGAGCTGGTTCCATGAGTATGGTCCTTTTGTGAAAACACATGCAGGTGAAGTCTTATTACTTGTGCACAGTTCTGTAGGTTTGTTAACTTTCACATAGTTCTGTAGGTTTGTTAAATTTCAGTTAAAAATTAATTTAGGGGCTGGGTGCGGTGGCTCAAGCCTGTAATCCCAGCACTTTGGGAGGCCGAGGTGGGTGGATCACGAGGTCAAGAGATCGAGACCATCCTGGTCAACATGGTGAAACCCCGTCTCTACTAAAAATCCAAAAAATTAGCTGGGCATGGTGGCACATGCCTGTAATCCCAGGTACTCAGGAGGCTGAGGCAGGAGAATTGCCTGAACCCAGGAGGCGGAGGTGGCGGTGAGCTGAGATCGCACCATTGCACTCCAGCCTGGGTAACGAGCGAAACTCCATCTCAAAAAAACAAAAAATTAATTTAAAGAGCCATATACAATGTTGTTTCATCCCTACAGATTTTACTCTAGGACACTTAGTTGTCTTACCGTGAAGTTTGACCCAAGGCCTTTCTCAAGGCGTCCTTAAATTCCTTGTTCCTCAGGCAGTAGATCAAAGGGTTAATTATTGGCGTGATGACAGTGTACACAGCAGAGATGAGCTTGTTGGAGCTCCGGGAATCAATGGCCTGGGGCCGGACATACATGAAAATCATGGCCACGTAGAAGATGGTGACCACGGCAAGGTGAGAAGCACAGGTGGAGAAGGCTCTCCAGCGGCCGGTGGGCGAGGGGATACTCAGGACGGCCAGGGTAATGTGCCCATATGACAGCACGGTGGCCAGGAGCGGAAACACCAGGATGATGAAGGCCAGGATGAAATCCACCAGCTCTGCAGTGGAGAAGTCCATGCAGGCCAGCTTGAGGATGGGGGAGATGTCACAGAAGAAGTGGTTCAAGACATTGGAGCCACAGAATGTGGCGCTGGAGATAAAATAGACCTTGATCATTGAGACAGTGAAGCCACTCACAAAGGAGAAGCTCACCAGCTGGAGGCACAGCCCCGGGGTCAGCAGGACGTGGTAGCGCAGCGGGTGGCAGACGGCCACATAGCGGTCGTAGGCCATGGAGGCCAGGAGCACACACTCAGTGCACACCAGGGAGCTGAAGAAGTAGAGCTGCGTCATGCACCCAACGAAAGAGATGCGTTTCCGCCGGAGCAGGAAGCCCTCCAGCATCTTGGGAGTGATGTCAGACACGTACCAGAGCTCCAGGAAAGACATGGAGCTCAGAAAGTAGTACATGGGCCTGTGGAGGGAGGCGCTGCTCCAGACGGTGAGGATGATGGCCAGGTTCTCCACCAGGACAAAGAGGTAGGTGAGCAGGAAGAGGAGGAACAGCAGGTACTGCAGCCCCGGGGCTGTGGGGAAGCCCACCAGGATGAAGGTGCTGACCTTGGTGACATTCTCCCCCATCATGCCTCTGTGTTTGGGAGCCTACAAACATCAAAGGGCAAGAGGGAAGGGCTGCAGGGTGGCTGCGGTGGAGAGAGGGTAGAGCTGGGCCTGGATGGGGAGTTTTGGTGCAAAGACAGACCACATGGCTCCTGGGAGCACGGGGTGGGGGAGCAAAAGCACCCCCAATCTGTGAAGGATCAACATTGATGATGTAGATTCTAGGTCTCAGAGGCTCTCGCACTGTGTCTGGAATGCGCCCCCAAGGCTGCCTCTGCAAATCTCCCTTCTCCATCCCAAAGCTGTGTCCACTTTTCACCAAGGGACCTAGTAACAATGAAGGGTCCACAGGGTGTCCAGCTGTCCTGCAGGTGAGGAGCCCTGACCGCTTCTGGGTGTATTGAGTCTGACATGTTCTTTCTAAATTGGTAGATATTTGACTTGCCACCTGTTTTTAGAGTTGATTTTACAAGAGGAGGTGACAGCATGGTGGGGGTGGGGCCCAGGCCCAAGTTAGTCAGACACCAGACTCAGGCACATCCAGGGGCAGCCAGAGTCCCCCATCTTGAGGACCACTTTCCACAAGAAGGGTAAGTGGTCACATCCTTATTAGATCTGAGGGAAATGTCAGCAAGGGAGAGACTGCAGTGCAGTTCGGGAAGAGTAAAAACAGATGGCAGCAGAGAGGAGGAAGTCTAGAATGTTCTTGAGGGGCCTATCGCTGAGGGAGAAGCCATGCACCCACCCCTGAGTGTGAGTGTGTATTCTAACACAAAGTACATCTGTGAATCCTCACTACAGCCCTGGGAAAAACAAGGCTTACACCTGTCTGTCGAGATGGAAAGTCTGAGACTCATAGAGAAAGGTTCGTGGACCTACCGAGGGTCAGGGCAGTGCCAGGGTGCAGACTCAAGGCTTCTAACACCAAGGCCACTGCTCTCCCAGTGCGATTTCAGCAGAAGCAGTGAACCCATGTGGGGGAGGGCTAGAACATGGAACTGTGACGATGCACAGATTCAGTTGTTGGTTGCCCGGTGATGCTACGCCAACAGGCAATGAAAACAAATAAATATTATTATTCAGAAGAAAAGGCAGAGAAGACCCCTCAGAGGGAAAAAGGGGATAGAGGCACACTCTGCTTTCCAGAGCCTAAAGCAAACATTGAGGTTACTAAGCAAAAGACTTGGAAGCAACCTATATTTTTCATCAGTAAGAGATGGGTTAAGTCATGTCACATCTGCGTTAGGAACACTGAGGTCAGTGAAAAGAAGGGGCAGGTCCATCTGTAGACACGGAACGGTTTCCAAGGTCCATAGCTACAGTTTTAAATGTTCAAAACAGCTCGGATAGTTTGCCTCTGCTCATTCAAGTAAAAGTACGTGAATAGGGCAGACGACCTGTGATGGTGACACAAGGTGCTGGGGGCACTCACTGTCCCTAAGGGGGAGAGCAGGTCACTAAAACACAGATGGCAGGGAAATGTTTTTGTGGCAACCCTTTTTCTATCTTCCAAATTTTGTTTCACTTGAATGTATTATTTACTCAAAATAGTGATCCATTTCTTATTTTTAGATTATTAAATTCTCCTTTAAAAAGAAAAAGTTATGCATTGGATTAAAAATTCAGTAAGTCAGCATTTCCCCAGACCATAGTTCCAAATCCACACGGAAAAACACACATAGATAAATGACTGAATGAGCATGAAGCGTGTTGTGCAGTATGCCACGTGCCTTTCAAATAACAAAAGTCTCCCTGATGATATTGCACAGAATAATGAAAACAGAGGATGGAGGCGAAACTACAGAACCATATCGACAGCCGTTTTCTTCCCAAGTAGTCGAGAAATTGAAATACAGAAAATAAAGGTGAAGTAGATATACTGATGGCATCTATTAGAGCATAGATCAGTAGATAAGTGATTAAGAATGTAAATGAGGGCCGGGCGCGGTGGCTCAAGCCTGTAATCCCAGCACTTTGGGAGGCCGAGGTGGGTGGATCCCAAGGTCAAGAGATCGAGACCATCCTGGTCAACATGGTGAGACCCCGTCTTTACTCAAAATACAAAAAATCAGCTGGGCATGGTGGCGCGTGCCTGTAATCCCAGCTACTCAGGAGGCTGAGGCAGGAGAATTGCCTGAACCCAGGAGGCGGAGATTGCGGTGAGCCAACCTCCATTGCACTCCAGCCTGGGTAACAAGAGCGAAACTCCGTCTCAAAAAAAAAAAAAAAAAAAGAATGTAAATGAGTAAAGGGAATTTAAAAGATCTTTAAAGAAAGGCGCGTAGGAAGCGTGGGGAGTTGCTACGACACCTGGTTCGTGTTGGCGGGCAGCACTGGCTCCATAACGGTAGCAATGTGGTGCACGGGAGCTACATTAGTGAGATCTAATAAAACAGCTTTCTTTTAAATACGCTGATGAAACAGAAAACGAGTTTAAACCACCGTAGTGCATGTCATAGAACTGCATAAAGTGCAGTCCCTGGCCCTTCGCTCACATCCTTTCTTGCACCTGGAATGTCCCCCAGCCCCACCCCCACTCTGGCTGCTTCTGCCGTGACCACCCTCTAGGCTCCCATCACCCCACACTCACCGGCATCTCCTCCCTCTCTCCTGGTTGCCCGTGCTGTGCTCATGAGGGAAGAGGGATGGGTGCTGGCTACGAGTGGGCTGGATGGCTGATGGAAGCTCTCTATTTGGAAGGTGCCCGTGAAGCACCTCTTGCTGCCGACCACCTGGGCTGCATGCTTCTGAGGATGGGAGCTGTGCCCCTCTCACCACTGACCAAGGCACCAGGACCACTTCCCACCACGCAGTAGAAACTCGACAAGCCGTAGGGGAATGAACGGCGATGGGAAACTTAAGGAGTGACAAGGGTCTGCCCAAAATAACACGGTACAGCAAAAGCTGGCCGACGGGGCGAGGGCACGCGCTTGTTTCACCCCCACAACCACCTGCTCCCTCTTCTCTCCTCTTCATCCTCAAATCCCAGATCGTTAAAGAGAAAAAGAAATTACATATAAAATATAAAACTAGAAGGTGACCTTCTTGATACAAAAAGCTGGTGAAGAAAGGCAGCCCAGAGCCAAGAGTCTTTGGGGATGTCACCACATTCCTGCCCATGGGAGGGAGGAAAGTGCCCAGAGAGCTCTGCGGCCCAGGGGACACGGATGGTGGGAACGTGGATCTCACCGTCCTCTGGGTCAGCAGGGAGGTGGGTTGACGGCTGGGTGTGAGTGGGCTGTGTGGCTGACGGAAGCTCTATTTGGAAGTCCTTTTGTCACTACAGATCAGCAAAATTCAAGAAGGGCGGAGGCCGCTGGCAGGGGAGCTTGACAGCTGTAAACAGAGTCAGGATCTCAGCATCGCCACATACCTGGGAGACCATGGCTCATTTTGGAACTTCAAGGGTAAACAGAGTCAGGATCTCAGCATCGCCGCGTACCTGGGAGACCACGGCTCATTTTGGAACTTCAAGGGTAAACAGAGTCAGGATCTCAGCATCGCCGCGTACCTGGGAGACCACGGCTCATTTTGGAACTTCAAGGGTAAACAGAGTCAGGATCTCAGCATCGCCGCGTACCTGGGAGACCATGGCTCATTTTGGAACTTCAAGGGTAAACAGAGTCAGGATCTCAGCATCGCCGCGTACCTGGGAGACCATGGCTCATTTTGGAACTTCAAGGGAAAATACCCTAAAAGGCATCCAGCCAGAATAAAACATTTTTTATATATAAAAATGAAATCAGTAGGGTTCACTTTAGTTTTTCGTCAAACACTTAAGAGTTCAGAAAACAGCGGAGAAACCTCTAGAGAGAGCTAGAGGGTATGAAACTCAGAAAATACTAAAGGCATCCAGCCAAAACGGAACGTATTTTTTTTATCAAATAGAAGATCAGCTGGGTTAACCTTAGTTTTCATTAAAAAAAAAATAAAAGTCCAGAAAACAGCAGAGAAACCTCTGGAGAGGCTGGAGGGAATGAGAATTGAATGTCATGTCCAGACCTGAAATGACTCATGCCTGAGGGTGTTAAACTCTTCCTCAATATGAAACTCAAAATGTCACGGCCATTAACCCGAGATAAAATAATAATCCCCAACCAAGACTGTCACAGCATAGAAAGACTGGCGGTGAAGAGAAACACATCTAAGCACGAAATATTCGATCCCAGCAAATGTCCAGATAGCGACAAAACAACATGCAAATGTCCCTCCCTGTGATGAGATCATAGATGATGAAATATAGTCATTGTTTCGGGGAAAAAAAGAGAAACTGGCTTTAAATACAGTTAAACCCAGTAACTGTATTTAAACCAGTTTCTCTTCTTTTTCCAAGCAATTACTGATTATTTAAATGTTTTTCCATGAGGAAAAGCTTGGGAGAGGATAAGACAGCAATAAGAAAAAAAGTGTATTGTGCCTCATTTTCAGGTGAGAAAATCAAAAGGCAATGTTTCATTCCTGGAGTTTATAGTTAGAGCAGTATGAGTTCTTAAACATTTTAATAGTAAATCATGGTTTTTAAAGGATGTAGATTCCATAAATCTTGAAAGAACACAAAATATAGAAACAAAGGAAATCATAAGAAAGCACCTAAAACTAACTACAACAATGACTGGGGTAGGAAAGAAGTGAGCTGTGACAATAAATGTAAATAGGATAAACTCACCTGGGAAAAGGAAAAGACTTTCATGTCGTGGAAGAAGAATCCACTATACTAGGTTGGTGCAAAAGTAATTGCGGTAATATTCCATCTACAAGATGCACAACAAAAGACTCGGCTCAGGTTGAAATGACAACCGTAGGTTCCGATGTAGAGTCAAACAAAACAAAGCATCATTGCAGAATTAACATTTGACCAAGTAAAATTTCAGACCCCCTGTTTTATGTATAAACCTTTTGGTGAATAATATATCCTCAACACAGTCAGCAAAAACCTGACTTTAAAAACAGAAATAGACAGGGGCCAGGCGTGGGGGCTCACATCTGTAACCCCAGCACTTTGGGAGGCTGAGGCAGGCAGATTACTTGAGGTCAGGAGTTCGAGACCAGCCGGGCCAACATGGTGAAACCCCATCTCTACTAAAAATACAGAGCTTAGCCAGGCATCACGGCAGGCACTCCAGAGGCTAAGGCATGAGAATCACTTGAACCTGGGAGGGGGAGGTTGCAGTGGGCAGAGGTGGCACCACTGCACTCCAGCCTGGGTGACAGAGCAAGACTCTGTCTCAAAAAGGAAAAGAAGAAGAAGAAGAAATAGATAGAAAGCGTGTAGCAGCAGCAGACCTGTAATACAGGCCTCTCACTACCTGACAGGTCTCAAAGGTAAAAACAAATAAGGATGCCAAGTATTAGAACAGTATAATTTTTGAGATGTTGATTTCAGGGATAATAAACTCATGAGCCTGAGAAAATATACACCTTTGCTTAGAAAATATGGAGAAATCATCTGCAATAGCATCAAAAAATGTTCCATCTCCAAAGTGGAATCACAGATAACACATTTCCCTAAAAACAATAGCATAAAAATCATTTTTTATGAATGAGAAAAAATAATAGAATTGATCAATAGCAGCAGAAACGTGTTCTGAAGTAGGCTCAGAGTTGAGTACAGTAAAACAGATGAAACTCTAGCTGTTTTGACTAACAGGAAAATATGAACATGCAAAGCAATTTTGGAGACTGGAAAGCGTCAACAGCAGCCAGAGATCCACCAAATGGCAGGGTAGGAGTGGGCGACGTTTGCCAAGCCCCTAATAACGTGTTCTGTTCAGTGGTCCTCTTACAGCTTGTTTACAGATGACGAGAAAGACTGAAAGCGTAGAAGATCATTAAAAGCAGTATGTGAGAGTGAATGTTAAAGTCAGAAAAAAACGTCTATTTGCTGGGAAAACTGAGTGAAGTGAAAACAGAAAGCTCCACAGCATCATCGTGTTAAAATTGCTTTGGAGAAAACCCAGATACTTTGCATGTACCCAGCTTCTAGCTCTGCCGGGAGTAGCTCTTTCCTATGTGAGGTCAACCCTTGCAGAGCATGGGAAACTCCAGCTTCACTTCACAAAA